AGGATAAAATGGCATTTAGGGCTCTTGTACACAGGGTCGCTATGAGTCGTAAACGACTTGATGGCACATAACAACAATAACAACTGCCATCAATTTGGAAGCGGCATGTAGGTTTTAGAGGCTTTTGATCACATCAGAGGAAACTACCCATCTTTCTTCTTTAGACCAGCTGATGGAATCCAAGAACCAACCTCTGGGTAGGCAGCACCATGTCCTACACCAGAGCTCATTAGTAAAAAACTAGATATTTAAAATGAAAATCCCATTTGTCCTTTTTTAAAAAATTAATTTTAATGAACATTTACAGAGATTTTGGATTTCCATTCATTCATTGTTGCACTTTTCTCCCTGCCCAACCCTCCCCCTACCCCCTACCCCCTTCGCTCCTCTCTTTGAAAAGCCAAAGAAAAATTCCTTCTTTGGTATACAATCCCCCCACACCCTTCCCACCGCCCAGAGTACACTCCAGTATGCAACCTTAATTCTGGACTCTTGTACTCTTGAGGAGAATAATAGATTGTCTAATTTATAACTTTTAAGCTCCTGATTTTTTTTTTCCGTTTGTTTGTTTGTTTGTTTGAGGTAATCTCTTTACCTCCATGCAAATGAAGATACTGATCAGAACTATTAGAATAAGGTGTAACTAAAGATTTTAAACACAGTGCTCCAGAAGCCAAATGATGGCATGTCATTATTTCAGAAGGGAGGTCAGCCATGTTGGATGCTGTCCAGAAGCTGAGCACAAGTGAGAAAAAAAACCCTGATTTTGGAAGCTAATATGCAAGGCATATGAGTGATAATGATAAGGATAGGAAAGAGAAAGTGGACAAAATGTGGCTTATACTAGAACAAGGATATGAGCAAGCAGAAGTGTTATTGTAAAAGGAAGCAGAAAAGTAGAATATTAACTGGGAGTTAATTTAGCATTCTCAACAAGATGGACTGATACAGTAACTGTAACCACTGACTCCAGTACACCAGAGATGATGAGGTGGCACAGGACAAGGCAAGAGTCAAGCCCTTTGTTCACAGGGTTGCTATGAGTAGTAGTTGACTTGACGACACCTAACAAGGCGTCAAAGAAGAAGGTATTAGTTTTGGG